TGAAAAGTTGGTCTTTCTATTCTTAAATGGAGATGATGAATGAGCATAAAATATCACAATTTGAAACAATTACTCTACTTGCACATGTCCTGACATACCTTAATCAATGCTTAGTAAAAATATTTATAGCAGTAAAGGGAAGATTAGATCAAATGAATTTAATTATATAGTATTTGGTGTATAACTTAACAAAATAGATCATTCTGTGCATACAGTTAGCCACCTTTAAAAGATGAAGCTCAGACAAAAGGAAATACTCATTTTAATTTGCATTTCAAATAAGAAACTGGTGGTGGCTTACCTTTAATTAACTGGTTAATTCCAACAGAGACAACATATTATTCAGTAAGCTCATTTAATCATGCCAGTAGCCCTGAGAGGAAGATGTATTATCCCATACCGAAGACCAAACCCAGTCTCAGAGAACTCCTGAGACTGACAATCTTATTGGGAACCAAACAGGGCATGATATGAAACATATTTTGCCTAAGTTCAAAATGGGTTTCCCTTTAACTAATTTACCTAATTCTATTCTATATCACTGATAGACATATGTTATGTTACAGCATGAGATGAATAATGCCTAATACCGAATGTTTCTGTCTGGAAGACAAAAGGTAAGACCATGAATAGTTCTATTGGTCTCTATTTTCTCTATACAGAGCCATAGGTAAGGATCAGACACAGAGCATCTTACAGTACTTCTAAAATACATGGTGTTTCAAGCAAGGCAATGTGTTCTATGAAGAAGTTTCATAAGAAGTTGACCAACCAGCAAATAACTGCATGTTTTTACCATGTTGCATGCCACTACAGCTTCTTTCTTGCTGGATGGTGAAACAGATAGTATCAGGAATGATGGACACCTTTCTAGTCAGCATACAAAATAAGCTAGTCCTCAAAAAAAGGAAACCCATCACTCTACACTTGCCTGAGAGACTCATAAGGAAGTGTTCACTGCTCTGGCTAGTCAGAAAATTTAATTTTCTACTCAAAATTAACCAATAGTACAGAGACAGAGGAAAGAAAGCTGCTCTCCACAAGCCAGCTGGCCGGGGAGGGGGGCTGTCCACGTATAGAACTGATGCAAAGGTCAGTGGAGGCTTCTGACATTCTTGTTTCCTGGAGCTAAGCCAACTCTGGTCAGCATAGTGTGGGAGGCAACAATGCTTGATAAGAAATGCACTCATTACCTTGCTCATATAACTGTAACCCCTCTGTACAGTATTTTCACAATTAAAAAAAACTTATTAAAAAAGCCAAAAAAATCCATTGTAAATGCTTTGAAAGAGTCTTCCTCCCTTCTTGGGATGGGACCATGGATGTCTAGACACTGGTTCTTGCCTGACATCTATCAGATACACAGATATGTCTGTGCCATCAAATTGTACTTTACCTGTCCATCTCTGATGAATAACTCAGCCTCAGCTCTCTTTACCTTGCCCGAAAACGACATGTTTTCAAAGCTGGATGGCTGTTGTTGCTGAATAGCCCCTACCTCCTGGGCACCAAACTTTGCAAACAGTGACAGTAAGCAGCAACAGTAATAATCAATTACCTCGAGAAACACTCCTTGATTCCCTGAGGCCTGGTATTATTGTCAGTGAGTCTCCGTGAGGCACCAGTAGAATGGATAGATTAGAGAATGGGCAAATGGAAGTGGGGATTTATGAGCCAGGATTTAAACTCAGCTCTCCCAATTCAAGGTCACTTTCATTTTGTCACGAAAAGCCTCTTCAACCTCTTCTCTAGCTGATGAACAAAGTGCCTCTGCAGAGCAAGGGCATTCTCACTGGTGCAAAACACATACTGTTTGAAGTTGTGTGGGCGATTGCCCTAATACAACTCCTCAGGCTCCTTAGTTCGGCATAAGTCTGTGGGCTCTTTGCCCTCAAGAGTAGAAATCTTGTCAAGGCAAGGACTGACTACTAACCCTATAAGCAGTTTCTCTGCTCTACCAATCTCACTCCTTCACATTCTGTTCATGCCTGGAGGTGTGAAGATTGTGACAAGTTTTCCTTTCACAAAAATGGAAAAGCATGGAAACAAGACTCATTTGTTCATTCAACAAATGCCTCTGTCCCTATTTATGTATGCCTTCTAGCAGAAAACCATTGCAAAAGTCTGAAAACACAGTGAGAGGGTGGATGTCTGTGTCAGTTTAATTTTCTGGACACCTTCTGCCTTCCATTTAACACTTAACCTCTCATGGATATAGTTATCTTACGCAAGTAAGGGATATTCTGTAGATTTATAGTTTGTTGGATTTCTTTAGAAGTGCAAATGTCTGATAGACCATGCCTCAGTCCCTGAGGTGGAGAATTATTCTCTTTCTTTCTTGCCTTCCTTCCTTCTTTCCTTCCTTCCTTCCTTCCTTCCTTCTTTCTTTCTTTTTCCTTTCTTTCTTCCTTCCTTCCTTCTTTCCTTCCTTCCTTCCTTCTTTCCTTCCATCTTTTCTCTTTCTTTTTTTCAAGACAACTTTCTTTGTGCCCTCATGAGAGACGCTGTAATTTATTATTCTAAAATTAAGAGTAGATTATGTTAAATAGAAGAGAACATTTCTGGTCTGCAGGGTTTTATTCTCAGCCACAATGTTTCAGCACTCGAGAGTGTTGGTGAGTTAGTATATTTTAAAATAATAATAAATAATACAGTCATAATACTCAATGTACAGATGGATAGGTTTGGGAGATATGGAGGAGATGAAGGAGGGGATGCATTATACTCAAACTGGCATGCTGAACTAAAATCTCTTTGTATTAACAACTTACAGATAATTTAAAGTGCGAATAAAACTTCCAGATAATTTTTCTGCTAGAATTTCCTTGAATAAAATACTTGAAAAGGTGCCTTCACTAGATATATGTGACCTGGAAATAGAATGTGTTTTGTGTGTGCTCATATTTAGACATTGCATGTGTGCAAAGTTCACATTGACTGAACAACCCTTTCAAATGTATTCTTCCACTGAGTTTATTTTTACTTCTTTTTCTTCTTCTCCCTCTTCCCCTTCTTTTCCCTTTCTCCCTACATCTCCCTGTTGTCCAAATATTTGTATGTAAATATTTTTTACATTTATTTATTTCTAAAATGCTGTACAGAGGTTATAGTTACATTAGCAAGGTAATGAGTACATTTCCTATTGAGCATTGTTGCCTCCTCCTTTGTTTTCCTCTACTATCCCTTCCCTCCCACCTCCACAACTACACACACACCCGCCCACTCTGAAGTTGTAAAGTTCATTTTCAACATAGTGTTTTATACATCTCATTGTTACAATGAGTCAACTTGATTTTTATGTAAGCATTTTGTTTTTTATCCTTCCCCTCCCCAAATTAGATAAATGTATATACAAGATGCAGGGCACTGATATCAAATACAGTAAAATGGAAAGACTTGGAAAAAATTATATTAAGTGAATTAAGCCAGGCCCAAAGAAACATAGGTCCCATGGTTTCCCTTATTTGCAATAACTAGTACGTGTGCAGGACAAGCAGAAAAGGCCAAAAACCATGTACATATGATCATATAAGTTGATGTTAAGTAAAAGAATGCCAAGATAGAGACACAAATATCTTTTTTCTTTCTTGCTATTGCTTCTAACGTATTTATAATGTACCATGTGATTTTTGTTGCTTTGTATGTTCCTCCCCACAGTATAACCCCTATTTTCACTAAGTAAATACTTGACAGCCATGCTCAAATATATCATTAGCCAACATGCCACTTTTGGGGACTGGCAAACAAGATACAGATTTTCAGTTTGTTTTCAGAAGATAGCTATATAAACTATGACTGCTAAAAGGGGAAGGGGAATGTGTACAGTTCAACAGAAAAAAAATAGAATTGGAAGCTGGGCACCAGTGGCTCATAACTGTAATCCTAACTACTCAGGAGGCTGAGATGTGAGGATTACAATTCAAAGCCAGCACAGACACTGCAATCCATAAGATTCTTATCTCTGATAAACCACCAGGAAACTGGAAGTGGTGCTGTGGCTCAAGTGGTAGAGTGCTAGCCTTGAGCTGAAGAATTGAGAGACTGTGCGTAGGCCCAGAGTTCAAGCCCCACGACTGACAAAAAAAATAAATAAAGTAAAATGAGAGCCTCATTTCTAAATCAAGCAGAAAAATTTAATAAAATATTATTTCTCATCCTTGGAAAATCTCTGAACATGAAAACTACAAATAAAAGGTATTTTTCAAATGACAGTGAAAGTGTTTTTGTCTAAGACACATCAGACCAAATATGCTGACCTATCAGAATGCAGATGAACTGAGAAGATGATTTCAAAGCCAGATAGCAAGTCCAGAAATAAGATAGGAAGCTATAAATGCATTGACACAGAGGTCTCATGTGCCCATGTTCTAATATATATTTCATTGCAACTTTCAAAGGAGACAGAATGAAAACAGACAATGCCTCCTTTTTTAGTACTGAAAAATAATAACGTAAAAAATACAAAGATCAGACTGGGAAAGTGGCTCAATGGTAGAGCGCTTGCCTTGCATGCCTGAGGCCCTGGGTTCGATTCCTCAGCACCACATAAACAAAAAGAAAAAACCCAGAAGTGGCACTGTGGCTCAAGTGGTAGAGCACTAGCCTTGAGCTGAAGAGCTGAGGGACAGCATCTAGGCCCAGAGTTCAAGACCCATGACTGGACCCCCCCAAAAAAAGTATATATAAAGGCCCCACACAAATGTGTTGAAAAGTCCCTGAAATTGCTCATCTTTGTTAAGCTTTTCAAGAATAACTAAATTTGTGTTAATGTTCTTGGATCCATACATTGAATTTAGCTTTTAGAAGGCAGCCATATTTATGTGTGTGTACACACACACACACACACACACACACACACGTGTGTGTGTGTGTGTGTATTCCCAAAGGAAAGCTTATTCAATGCGTATGTATTACATACATTACATACAATGAGTATGTAATGTCATTTTGTACTGATTCACTTGCCATTTGAGACAGTATTTAGTTTAAAAGAGAAATACCTTATAGGGCTAGAAGTGATATCAGGGTCACGAGCAGTCACTTGACCGATCACAGAGTTCAGAGCAGCATTTTCATGAACTTCGAGGAGGTAAGTCGGTGAAGAGAAGACAGGAGGCTCATCAGCATCTTCAACAACAATCTTCACAGTTGCCGTATCTTTAAAGGGTCCCCTACCACTGAATCGTGGATCAATATGGACATTGGCTGCCTCGACCTTCAGTGTATAGGATTTTTTGGTCTCAAAGTCCAGCGGCTGTTAAGAAATGACAAAGATAAATGTTACTCATTAATGATCCCAAGAGCAGAACAAATGAGGAAATGCTAATAAATAAATGTTGTGTGCATTTAAGCCCATTTGGGTGTCTTAATGAGATCCACCACCACCCCCGCCCTACACTCCAGATCAACCTGTAAATTCTACAGGCATTTATTGATATCTATTTATTATACAAGCTCAGTGAATCTAATCTCCTATTGTTTCAGTTTGTGTTGCTCCTTTCACTTGGAATTTGCAAAAATATTCACAGTCATGAATTGTGCCATCAAAATTTCACTTCAGAGTCATAATAAAATTTTACTAGTTACGCCGTGACCTGCATACTAATCAGCTAGTTAAATCAGGCCTCTGCCTGTAGGAGATAAGGAAGCAGGGAACACAATCTCTATCTGGAAAGAATATTTAATCATTTCTCCAACAGTGTGTGAACAGTAAAGAAGTAGAAATGATCATTGTTTGGTCCAAGGAGACATTAGGAAGCATCATTTAGCATTAATCCAAACAACGAGTGTTTTCTTATTCCATTTCCAAAGCATTGCTTCTCTGCTGATCATGTGGCAGAAATGAGGTTTATTCGTTTATAGACTATGCTTAGAAAGTCCTTATTAAGAGTACCAACCTGCTATGGGGCAAGTGGACAGATAAAGACATAATCTATGCAGATACAAACTACTTGTATTTATACTTAGAAGGAAGATAAGGGCAGAATAAATAGATAAAACAAGCTCTGACTTGCATACAGGAATTACTTAAAAACAAGTTGAAATAATCTCATTGCTTCATTACTGGTGATATTTCTTACATCTTAATACTCCATTCCATAACAATCAGAGAGATGTTTTGTCAGTGACCTATGTAAATGAAGTTAGGTAAAAGAACAGAGCTTCTTTTATAAACCAGGTGCTTGTCCATATGAAAACACTTAAAGGCAAACACTTGGTATCTTATAATACTCAGATTTCAAGAAGGCAAGGCTGTCAAAATTCAGGGGGATTGTTCATGCCTGCATTACAATTTCTCATAAGGAACACAACTTTAAATCTGCAATGCAAATTAAAAAAATAAGACTCTAGAACACAAACTATACCACTGGAGCCTTTCATATTTTTTGTGTAAATTTAAATATGCATTCTTATTTCAAAATTTCATGTTGATATTTTATATTTGAGTACAGATCTCAAATGTAAAAGGAGACTTAGCTTCCTCACCCCAAATCCTTTCTGATGAACAATGCAAACACTTGCTTTCATGTTGATTCTGAATTGAGTGCACACATCTATCTCCACGAATAGATGATTCTATGCAAGCGTATTTCCAAACTGCCACTCACTGCTACTGTGACAATTTTGCAGAATTCAAGTTCCTCTCAAACACTGCTCTATATAATAGGTTATATTTGAATGTTTAAGTTTTATTTTGCTGTGTAAAATTGTATATATGTATGAGGGATGATAAGAGGTTTTGATACATTTGAATACTGTAGATTCCATCAAGCTAATTCACAGTTCTATCACCACATTAATATCAACTTTTGATGGAAAGGGGAATATTATAAATCTCTCTTGCTATATAGTAGTCTTTTGTGGTCACAATGTGCCTCAGTATATAATTGCAGCTTACGGTTACAGCTAGATACCCTGGACACTCTACTCAACATCTTTCCCATTCCCAGTCTCTGTTGATTTTGTGGGCCTTTTCCCTAGGGATCAATTTCTGTAAACTCTCTCTCTAAAAAAAAAGGCTGAGGACCAGCCTGCACCTGGAAAGAGAAGTGGGACCCCCCTCCACAGTTCATCCCTCGATTTGCTTTACCAATAACGCCAGACCAGGAAGCTTCCTTGTGCGGAATATCTTTTCATTTGTAAGTTTGACATAACAGAGCATATGCAAACACATCAGTGTCCTTAGTACTCTACTAGGCATAGACAGTAGGCCTATAAATCATAGAAATATGAATTCTTATTCTCTAAAGTAAATTCACATGTTTCTCGGTAACACTGCATACAACATATGTTTCCAAGTTTAGGAATCACAGGGAATAAAAACACAGCGAAGAGCTAATTGTTTCAGTTTAGAAAAACACCTTATGGCAGCCAAAGATAGCAGTTAATAAAAACAATAAAAGTGATATTAGGGGTTATTAGCCGAAGAAAATGTGATTCTGAGTTCTTCAGTAATTGACTCAAGTATAATTACACCGCAAAGTTCTTTCAAATGGGGGTTTTAAAATATTTTGCAACTCTTTATTCTGAACTGCAGCCAGGATCCTGATAGGAAGATAATCTTGCTCAAAGTTCAAATAAATGCCACTATTTTCTCCAGCATTGATTTCTAACATTATTGTTTCACAAAAATATATCCAGAAAATCCCAGCTTTCCATGATTAATATCTCTAGAGCTCAGGCTTATCATCCTAGCTACTTAGGAGGCTGAGCTTTAAAGATGGCCAGTCCAGACAGGAAAGTCTGAGACACTCTTAGTCTCCAATTAACCAGAATAAAAGGAGGCAAATGTGAAGGTGTGGCTCAAGTGTTAGCTTCCCAACCTTGAGTAAAAAAGAAACAAGAGCAATAGGCCTTGAGTTCAAGGCCCAGTACTAGAAAAACAAAAACAGCCCAATAGAACTTGGGGAAATGTCTGTGCATTCTGGGGAGAGATTTTAGGAAGCAGGGAAGGAGAAATCAGAATGATATAAGGAAAGACTAACAGGTATTGAACTTGTCCCATAAGCCATGTACCTAGGAGCTGTTTCCTGATATAATATAAACAGCAGCTAATCCACTTTAGTTCTCCCTTGGTTGAGGAGTCCTTTAAGGTTATGGCCTTTTCTACATGGCCTTGTACAAAACCTGAGTGACTTCTGTGGCTTAGAGAACATCACCTAAGAAGGTAAATATCAGAGGAGAGGCCAGCTCATCACGGTAATTATCTACTGGTGCTCCCATGGTACTGTGGAGTTCCACCAAAGGGAGTAGAGATGCTAAGAGGAAAATCTAAATGTCTACTAGCTCTAAGATTTGGTCCATTTACTCATCTACACTTCGAAAGCCAAGTTTCAAAGATAATTTTGAAAATGAATTAAATGTTCTTCAGTTTACCTTTCTTAATCGTATGATGCCGTCCTGGGCCTGGGCATCGGAAGTGATCTCGAAGAGCGCCGTTCCATCTCCGTCAATGATGTCATATGAGGATTGTGCATTTTCCCCAATGTCCTGGTCGTTGGCCTTGACCCTTCCGATGGCAGTGCCAAGAACCACATCCTCAGGTACCGAAAAGTGATACAGACCTTTGGAAAGGGGAGAAACATTCACTCGTTGGAGTGATAAAGACTTTCAGGCCACCTCCCTTGTGGCTGGGCATTCCTACAGACACTACCAAGACAGTGAGAGAAAAGACAGAAATACTGATTTCTCTTGTGCAATGTGCCATCCTTTAAATAAATCAGAGAGAAATATTCCCCCCAAGAAGTGAACGCTCATCAAGATTCTTCTGAGATAAGGAACTTCCACAACCTTACATTACCAAGAACATATTTGTCATGGCTTTTTCAGTGGCTTTATGAGTGAGTCCCTCTGAATGTTTTCAGTTTGCTGTATAATCTACACGGACTGCCCATGGGGATATTCACTGTTGCCCAACATAAAATATTAGGCTAATTTCGGCACCAAAAGATGCAATGTGTAGCACATTGAAAGTCACTTTTGAGCTTTACTTTTAAATTTACAGACTTTCAGACCTGTTTTGATAAAATCCAATTACTACATCTCTGCTGTGCCCAGAAGCAAGCACTTCAGACACATGAAACACTCTTCTTGTTACTAAAGGTTCCGTTGCTCTGAAGATGAACATCGCTACCTTGAAAACTCCCTAGGCAAAATACAATTACTGTGTATTTTCCTTCTCCTCTGGGGACAGTAAAACGTGTCTAATTAGTGGCATTTGTCCTATTTTTATTCAAATCATTTGGTTGTGATGTGCCACTCATTTTTACTGGTGTACTGGAAGCTGGTGGTGCTCAGACTGTAATCTCTGGTCATTACTATTTTGGCATTTATCTGTCCTACCTTTATTCAGGCCTACTACAACTTCGCTTTGCCTAAAGGCTAACCCTGTTATTCACACGTGATTTTACCCATTGCTTGGCAGGCCAAGCAGATATCAAACATGCCCAAGCATTAGTACATAAAATCTGGGACTTCTCCTTTCTCTAGTAGAATAATTGGGAGTTATTTCTTTTCTTTTACTTCTTTCTAATCCTCCATGTTTTCCTCAGTTTGATTAAGTGCTATGCCCCCACAGTGTGGTAGAAGATTGGATCATGTACTTGTATTTATTTCTCCCCTCTCCTTCTCTCTTTCTCTCCCTCCCATCTCTCCCCCCCCTTTCTCTGGTGTTCCTTGGGAAACGTAAATAATTTATGCTTAATTTAAAAAAAAATCTCACTATCTATTCTGGTGAATCCAAACTCAAAAAAACAGGTCATTTTATTCTCTTGCAATTACAAGGGGGAAAGTAAGCATTTAATGAACTGTAAGTACAAAAGGAAAAATTGAACCTGGAGAATATCACTTCATTCTTGTTTGAACTCAATCACTGGAGGCCTTGGATGTAGTCATTTTTATTTTACCGAATGTAACAAGATTGGTTTAGTTAAGGACAGAAGTATTTTCCAAGAAGGAGCACCTTTTTTTACTTAATGTTTGGGAAATGAAATCTCCTAGAATTCTGTAGTCAAAGAGCTGGGGAAGAAAAGCGTTTTCTAGAAAGTTTTGCCCTAAGGTAAGCACCTAAATTCATGGTTTTAAGCAGATTTCTCCCAAATCTCTCATAATTGATGCATTGTTTGAATGTTCTTCAAACATTTTATTCCTGAAAACATTGGAGACTGCCTTCTAGGTACATTTATTAAGTAAATAAGCCATTTTGGAGTCTCACCCTGGTACCAATCCTACCTCAGCTAGCTTTGAAATACCAAACAATGGGACATTTCCTACCCAATGCTATCCTGTTCTTTCTCTTCATCTGCATCAGTGTGATCAAAACTAATAGTCATTAGATCAAAGAAAGAAATACTTTGGAAATTATCTCTCACTTTTGAGCAGATATAATACTTTTTCTGAGAAAGAAGGATTGTGTATTACTGCATTAGTTGTAATGACAATTGGGAAAGATATCAAGAATTAAGGGAAAGGGATATAAGAAATTATGCTCTTTCAATAATTTTGTGGAAAAAAAGGGTTGAATTATTGTTCAATTTATGATTTGGCAGCTATAAACGCTGTTCTTCCTTTCAAAATTTTATTTTTATCTTTAAGTAGTTGTACAAAGACATTGCCATTTAACAATGTAGTATATGAATATCATGAATCTTAATCAATGTCACCCTTTTCATTATTCCCCTTCATCCCTCCCATCTCTACCCCTTCCTCCCATTTCCTTAATTTTGTAGAGTGTGTATTGACTTGTATGAATACTTCTTCTCTATTCTTTCTGCCTTGAAATTCCTACAGGTAAATTCTCAAGTTACATCAAATGTCTCACTTTCAATTCTTCTGGGTGGTCAGCCCCTCCTCTCCTATATCCCCTGTCTTTTCCCCTCTTTTTAAGACTAGTTCTATTTGGTCCTTTCTATCCCAGTAAAAAAAAAAGCACAAGAGGCATCTAATCTAATATTGTAAATATGATCACCTACCTTATTTATTTAAAAAAATACAATCAATCCTTAGGTGTTGACCATGCTGAATTTCAAAGCATTTACCAAACCAGTATTTTATCTTATTTCTACAATTACCTTCTTGTCTTGCCAGGGAAAGATATCTTTAACTTGAATGTTTACAAATAACTACAAAATGAGGTATAATGTAAAGATTAGTAGGCTGATTTTTATTCCCTCTTACTTTACTGGTACAAATTCAATCACTCTGCTTAAAACTTAAAATATTTCCCTGGATTTCCAATGACCATAAGATGGAGATTATGGTATTTTACATATACAAATACAACAGAGTTCTGCCTAAATGATCCAATACTCTTACGATCAGTTCCTCTCCTTCTGTGCTTAGCTACCTTGAAATAATTTTTATCCCCATACAAGATCTTATACATTGCATATAAACATACTATATAGGTTTCAGAGATACAATGACATTTTGATATACCTCAGAAAGATATTTGCATTGTTCAATGAAACATTATTCACAATAGCCAAGAAATAGAATCCATGTAATTATCAATGAGTTTAGTAATAGAGGACTGGGTAAAGAAGTTATGAAATATATATATATATATATATACACATGCATGCACACATATGTATACATATGTATATGCATGTGTACAAAGAATGGAGTACTATTGAGCCTTAAACTTTATCTTGCTGTTTATATCAGCACTACCTAGCACTAATTTTATTTTTTTAACTTTTTTTATTGTGAAAATACTGTACAGAGGGGTTACAATTACATGGGCAAGATAATGAGTACATTTCTTATCAAGCATTGTAGCCTCCTCCTTTGTACACTAATTTTAAAAAACTAATTTAAAGAAATACACTTTTTTTTTGGTCATGGCACCTGAACTCTGAGCCTTGGCACTGTCCCTTAGCACTTCAGCTCAAGGCTAGCACTCTACCACTTGAGCCACAGCACCACTTCTGGCTTTTTCTGCTTACGTGATGCTGAGGAATTGAACCCAGGGCCTCATGCATGCAAGGCAAGCTCTCTACCACTGAGCCACCTTCCCAGCCCAGAAGTACAATCTTTTCAGGAGTGAATACCTGAACAAAGAGCTTAGGATCATCCTCTTTGGCTGCAATGCCTTTCTTTCCCTTTGCTATAGCTAATCCCATTCATCTTTCATAGCTCAATTCAACGGTCCTTATGTCAGAAAGACCTTGTGGAGTCACTTGTTTATGTTATGTTACTTGAAGGCTCAAAAGAAAGCATTTTAGGAGAGCATATGAAAGTTTGTCAAACATCCTTGTGTTGGAGATACATGGATAATGAATGCCTAGCAAATGTAGATATTTTCAAGTCATAGAGGACAAACTCATCACGATAAGAGTTTCAGTCCATGTTCACCACTGTCTGGCTCAGAGGTAGGAGGGTCAGGTATGTATTTTATGCCAAATTGGCCAAATTGTTGGATTCTCCAAATAAAACGCCAGAGATTTATACAGAGAGTTAATAGTGAATCAATAGCTGAGCTGCATTGTTATCATACTCTCAAAGTCATTCAGATCAGACTCCTTCTGTTGTTGTTTTTTTTCTCTCAGTTGTGGGGTTTGAACTCTGGGCTGGGGCACAGTCCCTAAGTTTCTTTGCTCAAGGCTAGCAATTCACAACTTTGAGCTACAACTCTACTACTGATTTTCTGGTGGTTGGTTAGAGATATGAGTCTCACAGACTTTCCTGCCCAATATAGTTTTGAACCACAATCTCAGCTTCTTTATAGCTAGGATTACAGGCATGAGTCACTAGTGCATGCATCTCTCAGTATCCACTTGATATTTGCAAGTATTCTCCTGACTTTCAAATCCTTAAAATGAAAGATAAATGTGTAGACAGAATAATGGATTATTCTTACCTAGAGGAGCAATAAGTACTCAACTGTTGCTAGAAGGTTTTGGAATGTTACAGAAGATTGTAAACCCATTTCTACTCATGTAGTAATGTCAGTTCACTTACTCTGTGCAAATTTTGGAGGATTGTCATTCACATCGGTGAGGGTGACTGTCAATGTGGTGGTCCCCGAGAGGCCACCGGAGTGTCCACCCATATCTTTGGCTTGGATCACGACCAGGTACTCCTCCTTAGCTTCTCTGTCCATATTGGGAAGGGCAGTTTTTATAATAGCTACAGGAGGAAATAAAAATGAAAAATGGCTTTCAGGCTGAGAGCTTATTCAGCAGTGAATGTGTGAATCAAACATACAGACAACCCCCCAATCCACATGCACCAGCACCCATGTGCATATATCAACTGCCCACTCAGATAATTTTCTGTTTTCTGTTGACATTTAACTGCCGTGTATCTGTGATATCAACACTGAGAAAGACCGTAATCATAGACATTCATGGATAGCTTTGCAGAAAAAAAATTGATAATGATTGATAATGCATAAAAAAGCAACTTGTGAAAATATACTTTCAAAAGAATACTGCCTACAAAATTAAAGTATAAATCATAACACATACTCATCCACCCAGGAAAACCCTAGAAGTGAGAAAATCCTACAATTTATCACAGACCCCAATTCTTCTACAGGATGAGTAAATAGACAAATAGCTCAGAGGCTTTGAAGTCAAAGATAAATTACTCTCGAACTCACAAATACATTTGAAGTATCAAAGAAATAAATTGTATTATTAGAATGAAATCAAGACAAATAAAAACACTGCTTAGAACTAATAAGGTCAAATGTCTAAATTCTAAGAAGATACTCTTCAAATACATTCACAATTTATTGATTTAGCAACATCTCGTTCAATGTGAAATACAAAAGTAAAATGCAAGTGCAAAATATGAGAAAATCACCACTGCTAATATCTTAGTGTTATTTCTTGAGAAACATGTAGGTTTCTGTTTCATCAGTAATTTAGTGTCCTCATGAAACACTGAAAGTTGGTTTATGAAATTCTTAAGTTATTTTGAAAAAGCTTTTATTTAGCTTTATACTTCTATACTATTTTTCATACACAATTATCACTGACATTGTGTAGTACATTATTTTAAGACCATTATATGTATATGCACATATGTGGCTATTACATGTATATGCAAAGATGTAGTTCTAGCTACTTCAAGAGGGTGAGATCTGAAAATCATGGTTCAAAGCCAGCACAGACAAAAAAATCTCAGAGGCTCTTGTGTTCAAGTAACCAACCAAAAAGCAAGAAGTGGAGGTGTGGCTCAAGTGTTAGTGTGCCAGCCTTGAGTGAAAAAGCTAAAGGACAGCACCTTGGCCCTGAGTTTAAGCCACATATACATACATACATATATACATGTATGTATGTATATGTGTCTTAAAATATATATACATATATACATATATATATGTGTACGTATGTATATATATGTATATATGTATGTATGTATATATGGCTTTAAAAATATATAATAGCAATGGTTTTCTCAAGGTCTATACACTTGACCTTTCAGGCTATTTGAAAGAAAGAATTCCTGCAACGTTCTCAGGATTAAAGCAGAATAAGATGAAGTATTCTCATCATTTTAATATATTGTGAGAATGGAAGTTTTAAAAAATCACTTCACTGTGATGTCTCTCAGTCACTAGGATGTAAAATACTTTTATGGCTCAGTTGAAAATAGCATACTTGTGTTCCTGTTGCTGAGTTTTATCAGAATAGTGGTGAAGTAGCACAGTTGGAGGAGAAAGGGTTCTTGTTTATCCTACAGGAGAAAAATACTCTATGGATCTCCACCAATTACAGAATTTGCTGTGCCCTCCAATATGGATAAACACAATTCCTTACAACGTAACCTACAAGTTTATTGACAAGTTTGGTTCCCCTAGGAGTATTCCTTCATAATTGAAGTTCAGTAAATTTGGATTCTTATCTTATTCTCACAATTACTTACATTGTTTACCATGAAAAAAAAATAGGAAACCTATCAGGACTCAAAATTCCACCTGGTTAATAGAAGAAAATAGGCAAGCTCTCCTGGTAGGTATTGTAAAGTTACATAACATGACTGCCCATTTCAGGTTACACGGTACTTGCCTACCCATATTGCTTTCTTTTTCCTCCCCAGATCACTCCCAGACTGTACTGGCCATGGCAGTCAGAGGGCTGAGCATATTCTAGTCTTTTCCTCCAGGTCCACTAGCCACTCTCTCTTCTTACTCTTAGCATGCACAAGTAACCATAATAGATCATTCACCCCATTCTTATCTGGTTGTGAGATTTCACTAATACAGATTACTCTAGGTGATTGTAAAAATTAAACAAGAGCCTTCCCACAGACTGGTGTCCCATCATGGATCACTTATGTTTGCCATTTCTATATACTTGTATAGCAAAACCATCCCCATGTTGCTCCATTCCTTTGTTCCTCCAATCATTGCAGTGATCATGGTACCTCTCTTGGGATGTTTCGTTGATATGACTCTTAACAGTACAATGCTTTGGCCTTAACTCTTCAAATACCCCATTTGTGCCAAGATTTAAAGAAACAAATGATGGTTAAGATATAAGGGCTTTCCCCAAGTGCCACATAATAGGGCAAAACATCCCATTTACACAGACAATTTACACTGCAGAAGTAATTCAGTATTATAAGGTGTCGTGATGCAGAGGTTAGCACCTGGAGAAGCAGAGCAAGAATATGTGCTTATCTTTAAAATAAGAATACAGCTTACTCAGTTAAATGAGTTCCTTGAGATGACCCCTTTGGAAAGCTGCCTATCTATTGAGAGCCTTGGCTCTTCCCATTCTCTTCGCCAGTTTGGGAAGTAGTTTCCCTGATTGCCAAGGCAAGCAGAGGTTCTCCCCATGTTTTTTTCAGGACTGTAGCATTAATTGCCTGCTTGCAGTTCAAGATGCATAAATGAATGGTTCTTCTTTGCCTTGGCCCAAACTACCTCTGGTCTCAGCCCACCACTAGAAGCCCCTCATTGCCAAATCCAAGACAGACTTTCTGGAACTTTTACTCTACCCCCTTGTGGATAGAAAGACAGGATAGGAGAACCCAGAAGAGCCTTCAGTCTCCTGTTCTTTTGTTTGTGTCACATTAGCAGGGATTTTTTTCAGTTCTACTCAAAAGATGATCCTCTCACTTTTGGTAGTTAAGACAAGACATTGATAAACTTCGAAAGGCATGGATTACTATTGTCTTAAAAAGTTCCTTTGTTTCTCCTGCTCAGGCTCAGCTTTTTCTCCTGAGCATAAGTAGCTTTCAGCTGTTTATAGACCAGAGAGAAAATGTCCCTATTTTTAAAAGCATTGTTTGGCATTTAGAACTGCTGAACCCAGAGCAGAAAAAATATTATAATTAGGGCAGGCTATTTTCTCTCTTGAATTCGGGAAGTCAAAACTTTTGACCTGTGAACACTAAAAAGTGACAAATTATCCATTAAATAACATTTCTTTCCATTGTCATCTTTGATTTTTAACCAGACACACAGACGATTCAAATAATCATTTGCCAACTATGCAACTTAGTGGGCATTTTAATCACCTTCTATTGCCTAAGACATAGAGCCTATCTCTCTTTTCACTTTGTTTTTTCACGTTTCCTTTGACTGTTTTTCTCTTTTCTTTTCTTTCTCTTTCTTTTTTGTCAGGATAGGGTTTTGAAATCAGGACCTTGCATTTCCTGATCAAGGTTCTCTAGCCTTCTTGCAATGATTATTTTGCGATCAGGTCTTGCTTTTTTTGTTTCACATTTTAACCAGAGTCCCTGCCTAGACTGACTAGACTGTGCTCTTCTTAACTTACACTTCTTCTTGCCCACAGCTAGGATAACAGGTACCTGCCACCACACTCATCTCCTTAAGTTGAGTTGGAGTTTGTCACAAACTATTTTGCCTAGTGTGGTCTAGAATTGTGGTCCTTCCATACTCAAGCCTACCAAATAGCACAGATGGCAGGGTCATGCCACAGGGCTCCAGTTCTTGGTTGAGAAGAGGTCACAAGCTTTTTGGTTGACTAGGCTTGAACCATGACACTCCCAAATCCAGCCTCTCTAGGCGATCTCCTTTTCTTAGAGCAGTAAAGAATCAGTAATAGGCATGATCCTCCCATGCACACAGTCAAATATTCTCAATAATCAGGGGTATGATCATAGGGGCATGATCAAGAAATTCAAAGTTTCCTTTGCATTGACAGAAAAGGCAAGGAAATACTCTGTGTGTGTGTGTGTGTGTGTGTGTGTGTGTGTGTGTAGGCAAGCTGTACAACAAATGTGTTGTTAATTTGATAGGTTAGCCCAGTGACTATGGCTTATGCCTATAATCCTAGCTACTGAGGAGTCTGAGATCTGAGGATTGCAGTTCAAAGCCAGCCTGGGCAGGAAAGTCCATGAGACTCTTATCTCCAATAAACAACTCAGAGAAGCCATATGGTGGTATGGGATGGTTCAAGTCATAGAGTGCTCGCCTTGAGAAAAGGAGCCCAGGGACAGAGCCCTAGCCCAAAGTTCAAAGCCCCAGATCCATCAAAAGAAAAGTAGCACTACCACCACCAACAGACCCCAAACCTTGCTGATGCAGATATTTGATTAATAACCTCACAATCAAGAAAAGTTATCTTAGATCATTTTTTTCCTGTACCATGGAGATTCCAGTGCCTTTGAGTCAGTACAGCTGGTAAAAATGTCTTATGACACCTTCTGCCTCTGGTTTTCAAAACTTTTGAACTCAGTGATGGTTCTGAAGTTTAGATTTAGATTGTTCTCCAACTCTCTATCCTTGAAGAGATCACAAAAAATTCCCATGGCATACTTTCTTCCTTGACAGTGTAAAACCCTAGTTTGTAATTACTGGCATTTTTAGGAGGCACCAAGCTGGCTTCAATTGTTTGAGTAATAAATGTATCCCACAGCTGCATGTGAAATGCGGGATTAATATTTGGTTTGCTCTGTTTTAGGAGGTGATGAACACCAGCGCTTAGCTGGAGGGCATAGGTCCCTGGCTGCCTGTCTGTAAAGAGTATAGCTGTTCCCAGGTCCCTTTCACTTTCTCCCTACTTTGTGTCTGCCGTTAGAATAGCTTCTTCCTTCACCACCTCCCACCAAGCCTGGTGTTCTGGCAGTGTATGAGGATAAGCACTCATAGACTGAATCCTCCGAAATTGAGCGCCATACAAGTATCTCCACCCATTCAGCTGCTTCCT